AAGTCAATATACGGATAGTATGTTTGTGTTTATCTTCGGGAAATTGTATGTGCTTCCCTGGGGTCAAATTCTGGCCACCCATTTTATTAAATGGGTAAATATCGCTATATGCTAGAAAATCAAAATCGACGCTTACTCTATTGAGTAATAATAGTTTAAGTAAAAGATAACTAGCAGGACATTTAGTTAGTTTATAAGCTCCTCAGAGACTTCATGCGATATATTTAAAGACACATAACCTGTGCTCAATCGGCTATCCTGCTGATAAAGATAAAGTCCAATTTCTGCTTTTAACCTTGAACAAAAAAGAAAACAATAGCAGATTTAGCAGGGGTATTCTTACTCTACGCTATTCTATTCAACTATCCCTTTGGCTGTAAACGCTGGAAGCATTGCATGTTGTGGGACATTATCTGGGCTTCCACAAAAGGTCCAAGATATTATTGTAGGAGGCCTTCTAGGGGATGCTCATGCAGAGAGGCATGGAAAGAACCTAGGTAATACCCGAATTGAATTTAAACAAGGGCTAACCCATGCCCCTTATCTATTTTTTATCTATTTCCAACTATTATTCTGGGGTTTCGTAAGTGCTTTTACACCGTTACCGAAGTCGACATCTGACAGGAAGGGTGGCACTCATCAATTCCTACGCTTTCGAACGAAGAGATTACCTGTGTTCAATTGGTTCCGGGATTTATTTTATCCCGCTGGTATTAAAATAGTACCAGCTATTATCGGTTTGTTACTGACTCCAAGAGCGTTTGCTTATTGGATTATGGATGATGCTGGTTATCGTGCTTCGGGTATGATCCTTCATACTAATAGTTTTACAAAGGCTGATGTTATGTTATTAATTTCGGTTCTTGACTCTAACTTTGGTATTAAGGCTACTATTCGAGTAGCAGGGGAAAAGTGGGTTATTTATGTACCAGCAGCGTATATGCCTACAGTTCAATCGGTTGTATTACCTTATATGCATTCTTCTATGCTTTATAAAATTCATGCTTAATTTCTCTTTAAGTTCGCCGGGTGCCGCTACTATGCCTCTTGGGCACAGCACAGCAGAAAAAAGCAGATGAGCTATTGGGGTGACCACTTATGCCCCATATGTATGTCTCTGCCTTTCATTATGCCACGTACTAAGGCTACAAACCGTATCGGTCCACACAATATTGACGTTTTATCTATTATCTTTGGGTCTCTTCTAGGAGATTCTCATGCAGAGAGGCATGGAAATGGGGTTCGTATAACTTTCCAGCAGGAGAGTTCCAATGTTGAGTATCTTATGATGTTCTGGCGTTTTCTCTCTGATAGAGGATATTGCTCTACTAAAAAACCAAAGTTACTGATTCGCACCGCAAAGGGTGGTCAAGTTAGGTACTATTATATGGTACACTCTTGGACTTTCTCTAGCTTTATTTGGGTTCACTCAATCTTCTACAAGAATGGTGTTAAGATTGTACCAAGTTGTATTGGAGACTATTTAACTCCCTTGGCTCTTGCTGTCTGGATTATGGATGCCGCTATGCCTTATGGATTGAAGCTGGCTACCCACAATTTCAGCTATAATGATGTCCTCTTTCTCTGTACCGTTCTTAAGGATAAATACAATATTGTAGCTACTCCTAATAGAGATCGTGACCTCGCCGGCGGCATAGCCGGCGGTGATGCTGAAAGCATCAACCCATGCCGGCGACGTACCGTTTGCCGCGCCGGAGTCTCCGTGAGGGTGCCTAACCACCATCGTTCTGTAGAACGATGCGAAGGCGACCAGTGGACTCTTTACATCCATTCTGAGTCTATGCCTATTCTTCGTGGTATTGTTAAGGATTTTGTAGTCCCTAGTATGTTGCGTAAGCTAGGTTAGTGATGTATATAGTATATTCTCTTAGAAACTGGTGCAACTTACACTAGGAAACTAGTCTTGAGAATATGCGATATCGGTGTTAACGGTCAATAGCGTCTCTCTTTACGCCAAGACCGTCAGTTAAGTGTATGACTGCGACAGACTAGGTCACCGATAGGTGCCTGCAATCCTGAAGGACGAAACCGGGTTCTAATGAGGCATAGTTAAATAACTTAAGCCCAAGTCCTTGGGAGGTTTGACTCCAAATATAAGTAAAGGACTTCAGAAATTTAGTATTATCAATTTACGGTTTCTGAGATGGAACGATTAATGGATGTTCTCAAGGTTCGGTATCAACTTGAGGTAACTCTCCAAATTGACCGTGGTAAATACCCTTTGATTTATATCAGATCCAGCTCAATGCCCTTATTACGCTCTATTGTTTCACCGTATATTACAATGCTTTACAAACTTGGGCTTTAGTTTATTAATTATCAATTCCTCTTTGGATACGCTAAATTATTTTAGTGAG